CTGTAGCCCAGCCGCCAGGGGCCGGGCTTCCGCCCTCCACGTTGTTGTTCCTGGTTTGGGCCACGCCCCCTTGGTCTGGGCTGCGGATGCCTCGCCTTAACTGCCCCGCCCGGGTCCTAGTGTAAAGAATGGCCTCTGGGGCGGCACAGTTTGAGCCTCCACCCGCACCAGACACGAGTGTACAGAGTTTAGGGGAAGGAGAGAGACTTTGTTTTAATGGAAGGGTGGTGAAAAGTCAAGGACAGGCCAGGGCACAACTGCGGAAATTTCACTCAGACGTCCCACCTGCCCGATCACACAGTGGCCCCCAGCTGCACCCGCGAATGTGACACGGCTAAACACTGGCCCTTTAAACAGAAGGCTGGCGGTGCGGGGTGTCCATGTGGAGCTGCTCCATGCCGTGTTGTCCTGCCCGCCCATTGGCCGGCGGCCCGGTGACGTCGCCTAATAGAATGCTAACGCACTGCGGGGGGAGGAATGGAGACAAAACGCGGAATCGGATCGCCACTCCGCTCCCTCCGCCAGTTCGCTGGCAGCCTCTTTGGCAGCCTCCAGCTGTCAGCTCCGCCCAGGGGCGGATCCCGGGTCAATTGCGACATCCCGGTGGTTGCAGGAATTAGGTCACGTGTGGGTAGGGAGCGGAGACCCAGGGATCAAGCCGGTCTCTACTATCCTAATGCTTCCCTGACCTAGAATGTCCTTCTTTGAGCTACTTAAGTGTTGAATTTTCCACCTTTCCTTCCCTCCAGCAGGACAAATTTCGTTATGAATGACACAAACACAGCCACAACCCCTGCTCAACTTGTGGCATGCAATCGGGGCGGGACGAAGAGGGAAAGCGGAAATGAAGGGCGCGAACCGGCCCAAGCTTCTCCCACCCCCACCCAGGCCACGTGTGCTCGCGCCGTATGTAGTGGGTGGGAACAGCTCGCTCCCGACCCCGCCCCTCCTTCGGTGAGGCGCCGCGGCCCTGCGGGTGGGGGTTCCGGTCCGGGCTTTGGCTGCGGCCCCGGTGTAGTAGCGGGGGCGGCGGCCGGGGGCAGCGCGGCTCCTTCCCTTGTTGTGTGTGTCGGTGCCTCCTCGCCATCTTGTTGCAAAGCCTTTTCTTGTCGGCGGGACTCCCGGGGGCCGCGGGGCGGGAGGCACTAGAAGGAAGGAAGAGAGGGAGGGGAAGGAAGGAGGCAGTGCCACCTTTTTTTTTTTGCATCAAATTATTTTAAATTTGCAAATTACATTTTGCAAGTATTTTGGGAGACATTGATTTTTCTCCCCGTGCTGCCCCGTTCTTGCCTGCGGAGTGCGCTGCGCCGCCCAGCCCTGTCGCCCCCCGGAGGTGATCCCTCCCTCCTGCCTGCCCGCCAGCCTGTCCTGTGCCTGGCTCGCGGGCCGCAGTCTCGGCCCCGGCGCGCCCCCGGCTGCTCTCGGCGCGATGAGCATAGAGACGCTACTGGAGGCGGCCCGCTTCCTGGAATGGCAAGCGCAGCAACAACAGAGAGCACGTGGTGAGCGGCCCGGCTGGGCCCCTGGGGCACCCGGGAAGGGGAGGCGAGCGACCCCGGTCCCCGAACCCACTCCAGAGCCGCGGACGAGACCCCCTCCCGGACGGCCCGAGAAGCCGGGCAGCGCTAGGCTCGGCACAAGAGCCGCCGCCCGGGGAGGGAGGAGTGTTGTGGGCAGTGAAATTAATTAATGACTTCATTAGCATGCAAGGGACCCGGCTCCTATGAGCACAACCCCAGTTGCCTGCCACCCCTTGTGCACCTTTTGTGGGGGCTCCTTTCGCGTGGGTCAGTGACGCCCTCGGTAGCTTTGAGGATGCGTGAGCCGGGGGTAGGGTGAGCAATGGTGTTTCGTGGGGGTGGCAGACCCGGGTGTGCGTGCGTGTGTGCACGGGGGATTTGTGATGAGAGCCTGGAGGAGAGCGGATGAGCAGACGTGTACACCGGCGAGTGTAGAGTGCACACGAGTGGGCGTGTGTGTAACGGAGTGGGGGGTAGGAATTACTCTACGCGAAGCAACTCAGAGGCTTCCTTGGCCCTGTGGGGAGGGTGCGGGGGGCGCTCCCGGCAGATCTGCGCGCCACTGGGGCGGAGGCGGCCTTTGCAGAATGAAATGACATCGCGTGTCTTATGATCCTGGCCAGCCCCGCCTGACCCCGCCTCCCTGAGCTTGGGCTGGGTCGCGCGTCAGGGGTTCTGGTGAGAGCCGGCTCATTGGGTGTTTGAAAACGGCCTGCAGGTCGCTGGGGGCAGCTCGTGGGCCCCCCCTTTCTGCGCCCCACTTTAGCCGGTGTGGAATGTGGCGTGTCTGCGCGTTCCATACCCGATTTCGGCTGGAATGTTGCGTGTGTCTGTGTACCAAGCCGGTTGGTTACACCGGCTGGTGACGTGGACGGGCCCCGCCCCCGACCACGTGCACCGGGGACACTCCCGCTAGGGACGGCGCGGCCCGGCCCCTCCTCGCTACCTCGCGCTCCATCGGAGGCGGAGCCTGGGCGGAGCCGACCCGGCGCCTGGCGCCCGGTTGGGCCCCGGCTCTGGGCGCTGGGTATCTCTTCAGGAGAGCCTTTGCCCTGCGAAGGAGTAGCAGAGCTCACCTGTCGGTTCTCGCCCCGACCTCCTGTTTTTGATCTTGAGGCGAGGGAAACCCTCAGAATTGCAGAGCAACAGGGTATTTAGAGCTCACATAAGCCCACTGACCCCAAAACGTTCTCACCAGGACCTCCCGGCCACAGTGTGGGATGAGCCCAGACTAAAAAGGGGCAAACTTTGGCGCTCACTCGGCAAGGGAGAGACGAAGATTTCAGATGCCCCCTATCCCGACGCGCCCTTGATGGACCGCAGCTTCAGGGTGCTGCCGAAATAGGGGCTGGGGGAAAGACCTCCGTTTTCCGGACTGCTGCCAGGGATCAGTCGGTGTGTGCGCAGTATCCGGGGCTCCTGCCCTTCCCAACCCTCCCCCTCCCAACCCTTAGTCGGGTTGGTTGTGGTGGAGATTTCGCTTCGCCCTCCTTTCCTTTCTGCCTATTGTTGCTTCAATGATGAGTCATGCAGGAGGTAGTAGTGTGTGTTGTGTGTGCTCGCGCGCGCGCGCCTGCCGCTGCCGCTGCTGCTGAGGCTGCCGCGGCTGGTGGGGAGAGTCGCAGCCGGCCAGGGGCGGGGGAGCGGCGGGTCAGCTGGCCTCGTTGGGTCGACCGGCCTCTCAAGGTCAAAAGTCACCCAAGATATGTAAGACCGAGATGCTTGGGATTTTCAGAACTGATGGGCTGAGACAGCAACCCAAACGCCCCTAGTCCTTGTCTTTGGGGTCCAGAGCAGGGTCAGGTGGTGGATGGTGCTGGTGGTGACCAAGAACTGTGTGCCCAGCGGCAGAGGGAGGAGCTTGCACAAGATTTGGAGAGACTGAGTCACCTGCTGCCACCATCAACACAATGCAATTCAAAAGTACCTATTGTGTCCCCATTGTGTACCAGGCACTGTGCTAGAGGTGAACAGGATTGAACCTGACCTTGTCCCAAGGAAACACTCACTTCACCTTTACTTTACCTGCAGGCTAGTTGGCCATATGGGGAAAGGGAGAAGGCCCCCCATGGTTATCTGACTGCCCTTTCCCAAATAAGTATGTCCACAGCTGACCAGTAAGGACAGGGAGGATGTGTGCAACAGTGAAGGAACCTGAGAATGGTTCTCCTAAGAAGTTGCAGAACCCTACCACCCCCACCCCCACCCCCACCCCGGGTGGTGAGAACTGGGAGCAAGGAGCTGAGTTGAAGCCTACTTTAGCTGCCCAGTCACAGCTTGTTGGTGGCGCAGGGTTCTTTGTGGATGAGTGGGTGCTGGAAAGCCAAATCTACACCAAAAACTCATGTACAAATGGCTAGATTCTGCCACGACAATTTAATCTCCAGAACTCATTTTTTTCTCCCTCTTGACAGCCTGTCCTTAGACTAGGAGTGGGAAGAATGGGAGAGAACGGCCCGGCTTATGTACCTAATGAGCACCTGAACAGGGAGCCTCTTGTACGTGCCCCCATTTAACCTCAAGGGTCAGTTTCCTGACCTAGAGCAGCCAGATTGCTCACATGATGACCCTGAGGATGTGTGTGCCTGTGAGAGAGAGGGAGAGAGAGCAGAGAGGGACCAGCAAGGCCATCCTGGTGGTCAGCAGGAGGGCTTGGTCATTTCCACCATTCATGGAGGTGGCTCCACTGGGGGACCCTCTTCTGCCTTGATCAGAGGGAGCTGGCCAAGTGTCCAAGCCTTCTGACTTAGTTGCACCCTGGGCCTGCCTTATGTGCCAAGCTCCCTGTTAGCATGCAGAAGGGGAGAATGACCCTGAATGTTTGGGGCCACCAGGTGTGGATGCCTCAGGCCCCAGCCTTGTGCCTGCTGAGCCCATGGGCCTCTGACTGGGGATGGCTGAAGGGAGCACAATCTGCATACTCTCCAGTGTGGCCCCTGGATCACCCCAGAGGGGTCTTGCTAAATTTCCTGAGGTGGGGGTGGGGTGCAGCCTCTGGGCAGAGCCCAGGGAAGGTATCAGAGTATGTGGGAGTGAGAAGGGAGTAGACCCATGGGTGCAGCAGAGCATTATTTTAAAGAGCCTAAGCTCTTTAAGGGAGGCCCTAAGGGACTGCCAGCTTGCTTCCCCCACTCTGTCTCCCTCTCTGCAGTGCTCTGGGAGAGGGCAGTTGTGGGTTGGGATTGAGTCAGAGCTGGTGGGGAAGAGGCAGGAAGCTTTGGTGGGCTGGATCTGGCCTGGGCCACCGAGTTCTTCCCCACTAGTTAAGCTTTTTAGTGCTGATCCAGGTGTGATAGACTTTGGCCTTGCACCTGGGTCCTTTTTGGCACCTTCCTGAAAGGCAGGGGAGATACAGATAGGGAAGAGGCTGGTGCTGACCTGTCCTGCTTGGCTTTGGAAGAGAGGGTAGGTGAGGAGGTTGCCATCTCCTGGGTGAGCTTTGGAGTTGCTTTAAAATATGGGGAATATGAGATTTGCCTTCAGTCTGAGTTCCCAGGGCACCTATCCTTGGGATTGGAGCCCTGTCTCCCCCTATATATGGGAGAGTGGAACACTTGATCCAAGGCCAATAAAAGTTTGGGTCCTGGCTCAAAGGAATGGAGGTGAGGACTGTGTTGGGTTCTGAGTTCCAGGGCCTTGTCTTGAGGGTGGGGAGGGGGGAAGGTGAAGATGGGGACAGGGAAGTGGACTAGGGATATCCCAGGCTGGGCCTGAGAAGGGCTCCACAGCTGGAACTCAGCAGGTGTCTTTCCCAGTGTGTTCTGTGGGAAGCTGGAGCAGAGAACTGGTTTTCTTTGGGGCTGTAACATAAGTCAGTGCTGGTTTGAAAGGCCTGGGAGAGCAAGGCCTCCCCTTATTGGAGTTGGCCTGCTCTGGCCTGGCAGCTGCCCTTCCTGAAAGGCAGGGGAGATACAGATAGGGAAGAGGCTGGTGCTGACCTGTCCAGCCGAGCTCTGGCTGCTGGGAAACCACTGAGTGCTTCCCTTCAGAGTACATCCCCCTCTACTTCCTCCTTTGCCTCCTCCGTGGGAGGGAGGGGTTCAGAGCAGACCTGGCCCACTCAAGTTGTTGATTGGCCAGAAAGCCCTGAGCTCTCTGGTTTTCTGGGGCCCCTGAGCCCAACAGACAAGTAGGGGTTTGAAGCCCTTCTGCCTACCGGGGGCTGCTTAGCCAACCTCATCCCTCAGCCCCACCCCTTGTGGGGTGGCCTGTTTGGGGCGTGTCCATGCTGTCAGCTGGGTTAGTCAGCAGTGTGGTGAATCCAGGGCAGGAGGGAGGGCAGGCTGACCAGCGGCTCCCCTGGGCCCTGGCCTGGCCCTGTAGCCAGGGGACCCCAAATGGGTCAGGGTGGCGATAGAGTGGGGCCTCTGGAGCAGGAGGGGCCACTCCCTTTCCCCTGTTCCCAGCTAGCTGCTGAGCAGGCCTCCCTTTCCTGCAGGGCTTTCTTTCAGCAGAGATGCTGGACGGTGCCTGAGCTCATTGCCTTGCTCAACCTCTGTTAAAAAGCCCGGCTTTCCTTTTTGCCTGCCTT